ATCCAGAGTTACTGAAAGACAGAATGCTTTCATCAGAAAAGGCTCTCCTGAAAACTCTGTCCCACTGATGAGAACGTGCATTGAAGGATGCCTTTCCAGATTCAGAGCCAAGAGGAAGAAGACATGGGGGCCTTCTTACTACATGGGGGGCCTGGGTGAAGCTATTCTACATATAGTAAAATAAGATGGTCCACCTGGGGCCCGACACACGCAATGCCATTTTAAGACAGTAGAAGGAGAAAGTCGGGGCCACGGGAAGTCATGAAAACCCAAGTTGCAACACCATCCTCGGTCTTACTCATTACAAACGCATTCTTCGCCTTCTCAGAGAAGCTGCTTGAAGGTCACCTCCACTTAAAATTCTTGGCTCAGGAGCTCCTTGTTGCTTTATTACCCTAGTCTATTAAAATTCTTAGAGTAGCTGATGATGAAAATTCCAGCGCATTTATTTTTCTTCATAGAGTGGGAAGAAAACACACACACACACACACACACACAAAACCAGCACGTGAGTCTATTTGAAATCGTTTTATGAATTTTAATCATAGCAAATGTGTTTTAACAGTAGTCATAAAATCAACATTACCACATATACAAAGGACAAGACAACAGTTTGGCATACAAAAATACCATATATTAAAATTGGGTTCATTGGAAAAACTCAAGACTTGCTAAGACACCATCTACACCAGAGAAAGCAAGCAAGAATGCTTTTAAGACATTCAGATTTATAAAAAGCAGCTTGATATCCCACTTCCAAAGTCAGTTATTTGGCAACATTTGAACAATATTTTCTACACAGCCCAGCAGCTCATTTATCTGTAGGGCAATTTGGCCCTTTAAAACAAAAGCTTCTAAAATAAATAATATGCATAATTGTGAACGAAACATGTCAAGGACTTGAGTTAGCTTCTCAGCAGCATTAATCTAGCCACCTAATACTGGAGTATTAGCTCTCGAGAGGGCCAGGGAGCCCACTAGCGGGGCTGGAAGACCGGCGGGAACAGAGCAGCTGCGTGGCTTATGATGGGGGAGTCGGGACCCGCCCCAAGCTGAAAGCAGCCTCCCCACTCGCAATCGTTCATTGAGGCAAACAGGACCAGGTGGTGGAATAAAGAAAAGTATAATGACAACCACCAGGATTGAAAACCAAAATACTCTTGGATGAGTCTTCCCAATAGATCAACCTACTCAAGTCAACCACAGACCTGGGCAATGCATTCCACTGCTAAGAGGGTATTAGAGAGTTCGTGGGTAATGACCTAGCAACCAATTCTAGAACAGGCTCAGAGATTGTCTAGCGTGTGGACAACCCAGGGGTGGGGGTGGGGCAGCTTGGATCTGCTCACTGGCCCAGCCCACTCTCTCTGTCTTCAACTTAGACATCTGGAACTGAATTTGGTAGGCCATCCTAGAATGACAAATTGTGCTTGTCTAAGTTATTCCTAGTTGTCCTTGTGTTTCTTTTTTCAGCTGGTTTCTACCACAACGACCTTCAGCTCCCATGTATTTTGTTCTCCACCCATGATCCCACTACAGATTTCTCTCCTTTTATGCAAGTATTTTCTGTCTTGAGCACATCTACCTATTGCTATAGACCCAAGGCCATGTCTCCACTGCTCCCACACAGGATCTGTCTCTCAGCCAGAAAAATCAGGCCAGGAGCTTCCTAAAGCACAGTGTACGACAGCACCTACTCTGTCCTCCCATCTAAACAGAGATGACACAGATTGAGGTCGAGGGGACATCTTCCTCCTCTTTTTCCTCCTCCTTACACCCCATGTTCCTTTACCATCCTCACAGTCAATCATCTACTTCCAGGTTCTCAAAAAGCAAATGTCAAATTCAAAATGGAACATCCCTTTGGAAAACTAATTAGAATAACCCAGTAACTCACAGGGAGAATACAGAAAACCCTCACACAGGCTACTAGCCCTGCACCCTGCGGTGATGAATTTAGAGCAGTGTTCTAGAAGAACAGGGACAACTCTAAGAGAGCACCCCCAGAAAAAACAAAAGACAATGCATGCTGATGCAGACTTTAAGAGACTCCTCTGTACTTTGCCCCAAATATGACTGATTGTCCCTATAAAAGATCATAATATGAATAGTATCAAAAACCTTAAGACTAGAATAATAAAATCCAGCTAACAAGATGAGTGTTTTCAAGCACCACTACATCGTAAGGGGAGATATACATAGTGGGAATAGTGGGATACCCCGGGCAGTGAGTCCTGAAAAAAAAAAAAAAAATCCATTGGCCCAACTGTGCAAGGAAACTTGTGCAGAAAAATTGGAGCCACGCTGCATGAGTTCAGGAATAATGGTACTCCACCTCTGAGCCAAAAAACAAGCCATTTGAAAGACAGAAATTAAATGCCCCTCCTGCTTGCGTTCTTCAATCATCAATGGCTTTCCAATAAAATGTATAGAGAACCCACCTTTTCATAGGTTTGAAGTGTCAAGGGTTTATTCATCTAGACATTCCCAAAGGTGGTTGGTTTGATATAATGTACGCTGCCTATAGCATTTGTTAAGAAATTAACATCTAAGTTCAACATTATCTAACCCACAAATTGGAAAACATGACTAACAACATTTTTTTACTTGATTTTTTAAACTCCTGTTACAACTAAGTCATGTGTGTGTGTATATACATATATGTCTATACCTGTATGTGCAATTATATATATATATGTATATACATATATATACACATATATATGTATATATATATAGTGAATCGTGTCAGGAAAAAAATCAATGGCTTCAATTTCCACTTATTTTTTAGAAATATTTCATGCTTAATAAAATTTAACTGAATTTAACTAAAATTTAACTAAAATTCACTGCTTTTGAGATAGACTAATACTTTCAACACAGCTACTGGATTTTCTTGATGACTCCATTCTTTTCTGGAGCTTCTGTTTTGGTTAAGGGTTACCTTGTATGTGATGTTTTCCTGGGAATGAGGGAAACGGTCAAGGATGACCGATCAACTGACTGGTGACATGTTTTGTGTGGGAACAAAATGCAGACTGACTGACAATATCGTTCTTTTAGGAGAAGATAGAAATTCAAACCTTTTCGATATCACTCCTCTCATACCAATAACCTCTGGACTTCTAAATTCCTAAGTCTGAAGACAAACTGTTATCTTGGCAAAAAAAAAAAAAATAATAATTTTAAGGGATAAGCTAAAAAGGTCATGCCACTGATGAGTTCTCAAAAAAAAAAATCTATTTTGCTAAAATTTTTTTAAAATTTTGCTATATCGAGACAAATGCAATGTTCACATTATACTCAGGAACAATGAAAAGTAGACTAGCCAATTCTGACACCGCACAGGATTTCAAATAAAGCAATGTGAACTCTTCAAATCAAAATGCAGACTAGAATAAGTATCATACTATCAGGAAGAGTCTCATCTTTCTATGAAAATGTATCTCAAACTCAATTTTCTGCTTTCCTTTACTCACTTAAAAAGCAATTTTCGTTAACTTTAATAACCCTTTAATAACACTTTAAATTCCCTGAACAATGTTTCTTAATGTAAAAAAAAAAAAAAAAGCCTTTGTGCACAGCTACAAATTTGCAATTTGTTCAGTGATAAGAGATAAAAGGAAAAACCAAATAAGACTGCATGTGTCAAATCTCACTCTAAGAACAGTACCTATGCTGTAGTCCGGCATCTGAAAATGGGTCCTCATACCAATCACAACAACAAGCCAGCAGACTTCAAGGGCAAACAAAACCCCTCTACAAACACTGCAAAACATGATTGCTCTTACATTTCACACCTTACTCATGCAGTGATGAAATCTGGGTAAGATGCTTGAAGTGAAGAGGAATTTCATTAGACTTTTTTTTTTTTTTTCTGTTTTTCTGTAACATTTACTTTTTGGCCCTAAGATCCTAAACACAGTTTCACAGTATAGGTCATGCATAGCTTGCAAGTCAAACGTTTTTACAGCTACTGTCTAACTACTATTTTGGACAACAGATTCACATGCAGCTAATGATCCCAGACGAGGGGCTTCATAAAACACTCTTTATGCCTCACTGACCATTCTATGGCCCAAAGTATGTAAGTAATAACCCCAAAGGGCAATCAATGAATTTGAATCATCATACTTGAGATCATATATCTTTTAAGTCCAGAAAGGATTTTTTTTTTTTTTTTTTTAGCAACTGCATGTTACTAAACCACAAACTGTTCTCTTAGCCCTACTCTGTACCCTGTCAACACTCTCATACTAGATCCCACTATGCCACCCTCCAGAATTACATGGTCCAATACGGTAGTAACCAGCCATAGGTGAGTGACTATGTTTAGATAACTTAAATAAAATACAAAATACATTCCTCAGTCATATTAACCCCACTTCAACTACCCACTAGCCGATATGGCCAGTGGCCACTATATTGGACCGCATAGGCCATAGAACACTTCCGTCATCGGAGAGAGATCTATTGAACAGAATAGCTCTAAGCTGCACCAGCACATGGGTTAACCTTCAAGGGACCTACTTTTAGGTCATGCTCAAGACTGAACTTAATTGTATTCTTAAAGAAAATACCTTTTAAGCTTTCTAATCATAAAGTATGACTGAAACTGAAAACCAATTGGCCTTTTCGATCACAACTTGTGCCCCAGGTCACTGTACAAAAATTTCCCAAGACAATGCTTTTTGATAGCATTCTTGGTTGGTTGTACTTAACATATGAAGTATTCTTTTGCTTATGTCAAGATCATTAATAAAGATGAAGATTCATGCTTCTTAAAGTTTACTATTTACACAACACTCATTGTCCTTTACATAAGGGTGGGGGGAACCAATGGTTGGCAATTTTAAAAATTCAAATCACATCATTTTTTATTAAATGTCTATACTCATCCTTAACTCAATCATCCTTTCGTTTCCCAGAGAGGTAGATGCTAACTAAAACGGATATATATATATTTAAAACAACAACAACAACAACAAACTAAAGCACTGTTGAGTGAGTAAAGGGTATTTATTCACCCTCCAAAAGATCAGAGCCCGATAGAGACATCAACAGGCCTCGGAAAGAGCAGAGAATAATGCAGTTCTCGTCTCCATTTTGCTGCAGAATTACAAGGGGCCACACACCTCTGTGGGCCTCCATGGACTCATGCACAAAAGGAAGCCACCAGAGGCTGCTCTCAGCTCTGACTTTCTGTGCTTTCAGTTGTGATTTTTTTTCAGTGATGTGCAACTGTGAATTCCAGTTGATTGTGTCCCTGGACTTTTGTCACACGGGGTAGATGAGTTGTTAGTGTCGTGGGGAAATGCCAGAAGAGGCCAGCGCGATGGGATGCCAACTAACATGAAAACATCAAGTGTACAAAAATTCTATCTGCAGGCTGAGCTATGACGCACAGAAACGCGCACACACGTGTGCACAACTGCACACTTTGACAGGCAATACACAAGTAAATGCAGGCAGAATCCGCTGAAACAGTATTTCTTAGGTCAGGAAGACGCACACACAGAATTCTGATTTGGGTGTTATTGTTACCTTAAATTGTAAAGTCAATGATCTATCACGGGGCTGATTAATTTGGCACTGCTTCACAGCAGCTCTAGCGCGGGACTGTTTTTAAGTTACGTGGACATTTTTACTCTACGGCTTTGCACTAAGAAACACAGGGCGCTCTACCACCGCACGTATTAGTGTCTATATAAAACCTACTTAACACGCAGGACTCTAGTTCATATTATACTACAGGGCCAGTCATTTCATACTGAACATAGACAGACGTAGATATCATTCACAAAAGCAACTCCAAATATGGCCTGGCTGAAAACTGCAAGGGTCAAGTCCGTTTGAAATGTAGCATTCTTAATGCAACATTTTCCATGGTCTTTTTTTTTTTTTTTTTCCCCTTTCCTCCAAGAGGTATAGAAATTAGGTCAGACATGCATCACGGCAGCCTGGCAGAGTTTGAGAAATCGACACTAACCCAACAGTATATTATGTTATGTAATAGAGGATAGTATTCAGTTAATAAGATACCTAAATTATTAATACCAAATAAATCCTAGATTATTTGTTTATAATGCCCAATAGCTTAGACAATAAAATGGCATTTTAACCTAATTTCTACTTTGAGCTTTCAAATACACTTGCTCCATGAATTCCATAAAAGAAATTAGAAGAGAACCGTAAAGCTGTTGGCTATTTCTGAACGCACACACATCCAGACACAGGAAATTACAACTTCAACACCAGCAGATCTTTCTTCACCAGCATCCGCAGATCACTATACTTTTAAGAATATTCAAGAATCTATGATGAACTGATCCACTTTAGATTGGGAATGTGAGTCGTTAGTTTACCTTGTCACTTTTCTCAATAAAAACATATTTTGAAATACAGGAGATTTTCTCACTTGTACCAACAAGAGGAAATTGGAATCCTAAATGGTTTAAACTCTCACAGAACGACATCGTTCAAAAAGCAATCATGGACTGTCTATTAAAATGTCAGTCTGGGTTTGTCATCAATGAACAACACTCATATCTATCATGATACCTCCAAACCCCGAGCCAAGACAGCATCTTCTGTCACTTTCCATCTGTGCCTCACAGAATACAGGACTTGGATATACAGAGGAGGAGCAAATGTTGGAAGTGATGCGTGCGCGACACTTCCCAGGGAGGGTCCTGGGTCCTGGCGCTCGAGAGGTGGCCACCGAGTCAGACCCTGGACTCATTCAGGCCCACAAAGTCTTACTCCTGGGATTCTTCTGAAAAGATTCAAAACCTGAGGTAAATCAAATGACACACACACACGCACACACAACACAATATTTACATTTAAAATTCTTACTTCATGAGATGGCTTGAGAAAAATTGGCATATAGGGTTCCTGTGGGATTAAGCATTTCTCATTATTACTCAGTTTATTGCTCTCCTGTTGGGCTTTCAGTTTAATAAACACGTAGCGAGCTCTAATTACAAGGGAAGAAAAATGGAGGTATGGAACAAAACACAACACACTGGAAACACTTGTTCGGACACTTTCTTCAAAAAAAAAAAAAAAAAGACCATCCACTTCACTTATTTTAATTCGGGTGCCATTCAAAAAGTATAAAAAGCCTTAGCAACTAAATGAAGACTGGATTTCCATTAAAAAGGGGAAAGGAACCAGCACTGCATGTCGTCGCTGAATTTTTAGGGGGATTCTCAGGTTTAGTTCTATTTGTATACATAAGCATCTTTGTTTTAATCTACCACATTTAGAGAAGATCACATTGTACGCACTTGCACAGTTTAATGTCTAAGTAGAATACGTCTATCTCGTAACAGGATTCTGACAAATCATAAATCACAGCCCATTTAATAAATGATTATGGGGATGCATGCAATCGTCTTCAAAGCTGTTGCCACCAACGCTCAATGATTTGCCCGGTATCTCGCTGAGACCTCGCGTCTGCCCTTTGCGTCTGTCTCCGGTTAATCAAGTGGCAGCCCAGAGGCCAGCGCTGGCACCAAATGATCAGCGTCGCCCCCCATCTTCTCGCTGCGATCCCATCACCAACACCTGCTCAACCCCGAGTTGGCACCCACGAGAGACCCCCCTGCCGCGCTGTTCAGCCACAGGAGATCACAGTGAAGCGCTTCGAAATGCAAGACATGTTGTGCAGCACGATGCCCAGCAGGAAGACGAGGACGCAGGCCACCAGGATCACAGTGCACACGCCGGACCAGGTGGAGCTTTTGGCCACGCCCCGCCGGTCGGGCTCCTCCTCCACCGCCTCCTGGGGCGCCCCGCCCTGCAGAGGCTGCTGTTCCGCGGGGATGGTCACCACGGTGACCGGCTTCTGCTGGCTCCCGGGCAGCAGGCGGCAGCCCATGTCTCCCGGCAGCAGCGCTCGCTCCTTGGAGATGGGCAGGGGCAGCATGTAGCACCCATTGCTGGGAAGTTTGATGAACACTGGGGTGTGCTCGGACGCGTGCGGGATGGCGATGACCGCCAGGACCTCGGGGTCGTCGGGGAGCTGCGACACGGAGAAGCCCGGGGGCAGCTTGGTGACGCCCCGGCACCAGGGGCACCTCACGTCCTTCTGGCTCGTCCTCATCTGCTGGAGGCACACCGAGCAGCAGGTGTGTTTGCAGTCCAGCAACTTGGGCCTTCGCCGGGGGCTGTAGTAATTGAAACAGATCTGACATTCCAGCAAGGAATCCTGGGAGAGCGTCTCCATCACGCCTCTGGGAAGCAGGAAGGCCGAGGCCGAGGGGAAGGAGCTTGTTCTCAGGGGCAGGCACTCCCACGCCTTCCTTCTTGGCTTTCCAAAGTCGTGAGGGGATCAGGGAGCTCACAGGCACCGAGCATACTCGAGTGTGTTCAATTCTGAAGAAGACAAAAAAAATGCAGAAAAGTTAATTATTTCAAACAAGCTGAGGTGTCAGCACATCAGCCGGGGTTCAAAAAGTCTTGACACTGGGTCAAAAACATAAAAATTTCCCACTCGGGAGAGATTACAGGAGTCCCACTTGTAATGCCCAGTGGAAGGTAAAGGAGTTGTCTCAGGCAGCTTCTTCCGGTAAGTACCTTGCTCATTTCTACAGGGAATGCTTTCACGGGGGCACACGTGCCCCATATTTCATAAAGAGGGAGTCTTGATTATGTTGTGTATATCTCAGTGGACCCTGGCTTGTTCTTCTAAAATATACCAAAGAAATTCTCTTGCTTCCAATAACTTTGTATCATCTCCTAAAAGTAAATTTCTTTCCTTCAACCCGCTGGTCATCTTCTCCTGACTCGACTTACCCTCCTGCAAGTGTTCATTGCCAGATTCAGGCAACTTCCCAAATCTAGGGAGTCCATGTAACTTATTTGCTCAATTCCTTTCACAAAGGAAATTAAAACAGTGCAGCCAAATATCTGGGGAGCCCTCCATATCTGGGGACCCCCAACCATATCTGGGGACCCCCCACCATATCTGGGGATCCCCCCCCACCAAATCATTGAAATAAAGTAATGCTTGTCATTTGGTTTCAAAAGAGATAAGAACTCAAAACAACAGCAACAATGGCCAGCCACAGCAATGAGCCTTCAGGCAGCAGGGGTCACAAAGGCACACAGGGCACCCTAGTATTTTCCATCCCTTACTTTAATTGCAATACTATTTAGGCTCGCACCCAGGAACGGGACCACAAGCAAGTACTATTAACTCGCCAGTCCTAACCAAGTATTGTCTAGCAAGAGGTTGCCAAAGAAGACTGGCAGGCAGCCCCCATCATAAAACGAAAACAGTGTAAGCCTCCTGGTACTGAGAGGAAGCAGAATGACTTAGTTCAACTTAATTGGGGTCTGAGGAAACCCCTAAGGCTCCAGTGTGGCAGTGAAGCCTGCTAATTCTGTTTCCTATTGAAAGTGTCCAAATTACCCGTCTCTGGATGGAGTCACAATGGCTCTGGAAAGAACTACCCGACCACTATTGTAGAAAAAAATCACCAGTCCTTGAACCCCACCCACTCCCAGGGCCAGGAGCTAATAACAGGGAAAAGTTCCAGCACACGTTTCTTAAAAAGCAAACCTTCTTTTTCTAACTTCCCTTGTGAAATTAAGAATGTACTCCTTGCCAATGATAAGATTTGTTAGAAATCAGAATTAGAAATGGAGGAAAAGTTTAAAGCAAAAAATAATCACTGGTGAAAATAACAATAACCAAAACCAGCAACATACCGTGAAACATTTTAGATGTAGTAAGAGCACCTCGATTAAATTACTGAAAGTCAAACAGAATAATAGAGCATTCAGAAAGTTCATATCATAATCAACTGCTTATCTATCCACTAATTCAAGAAATGTTTATTGAATAACTGAAATCTGTTAAGGGTAGAACTCAAATGTTCTCGATGAAAAAACATTATCGGGTGATGGAGCTGTTAATTAGCTAGATGGGGGGGCAGGGGGTCCTTTCACAATGTCCATATAGCAAATCGCCACCACGCACACCTTCAATGTCTTACAGTTTTGTCAGTTATACCTCAATAAAACTGAAAAATTAAAAATTAAAGCTATCTGTGGAGCATCTATCAGGCACAAAGCACAATGCTAGCTACTACTGGGCATATAGATGAAACTGATCCAAATCCTACTCTTAAGCAATCTGGTTAGGTAAGAAAGAAAACATGAATAGATTTTCTCTTCCCATTCATGTATTCATTCAGATTCTTATTGAACATCTCCACGTGTCAAGCATTATAGAATTTGTTTTTGTCCCTTGTAACCAAGATCTTGTCACTGCCCGTAAGAAACGCCCAGCCTAGCATGTGAACAGCTATAATACAAACACAGAGGGAAACGTGCCGGACAGGGGTAGGAGGAATCAGGGAAGGCTCAACGGATGATCTGGATTATAGAGAGAATTTGGACATATAAAAGCAGGGGGCAGATCATTTTCAGGTTCAGAAATCAGTGTGAGCCAAGGAAAGAGCGTGAGCAGCTGCAGAATTATTTCTAGGCTCTACCTGTGGCACTGGCTGGAGGATTTTTTTTTTTCCTAATATGAGAGTAACTTGAAAATCCCCCCTAAGAATTTTATAGTTTTAGCTTTGATGTTTGGGTCTTTGAAACAGATGCCTTTTAATTTTTTATGATTTTATTTCTCAGTAATGTCTACAACCAACGTGGAGCTCAAACTTACAACCCTGAGATCAAGAGTCTCAGGCTCTACCAACTGAGCCCAAGGTGCCCCCAGATACCTTTTACAGAAATGAGATTCTTGGAGAACTTGCAAGCAGCCTCCCGCGGGCCCAGCCCGAGAGAGCGAATTCCTGCAGGGAGGGGAGAGGGGAGTGTGGCCAGGCACAGACCACACCCTGTGGACAGCCTTGAGTGCCAAGGATGTGCGGCTTTCTGGTGGGCGATGGGAAAATACCAGAGAGGTTAGGAGTATGAGAATGAGGGGGCGCCTGGGTGGCTCAGTGGATTAAGCATCTGCCCTCAGCTCAGGTCATGATCCGAGGGACCTGGGACTGAGCCCCATGTGGGGCTCTCTGCTCAGTGTGGAGTCTGTTTCTCTCTCTCCCACTGTTCCTTCCCATCTCCATCCCCCACTCATTCTAATAAATAAATAAAATCTTAAAAAAAAAAGAGTATAAGAATGATTCATTAGGTAGTCATACTCAGGATAGATTGGAAAGACCTGCAGGGAAGCTATTATAATATTAGACAAGACGTAACAAGTCGTTGAAGGAAAGATGGGCAATTAGGCTGAAGAGATGAGAGGTGCCAAGCGGTAGTAGAGAAGTCGAGTGGGATCTGGCAGTGAATCACAATGTGGCTGTGTGGCAGGGAGAAGGCACAGGTGAAGTCTGGAGAGGAGGGTGGCATCATTAAGAGAAACAGGGATCCTGACAGAACGACAGTGAGTTCTGCTTGGGCCACCTTCCAGTTGAGGTGCTGGGAAGAGATACGAAACAAGTTATTCAGGAAGACAGGAAAGAGTCGGGAAAAAAAGCTGAAAATGTGGGGATGATAGTATAGAGAAGAGTCAGGCATGGACCTGGAGACTCAGATGAGGGCCACCAAAAAGAGCTATCAGCCAGAGACAAAAGAACAGAGAGACACCCTCAGGGAACACACAGCTCCTTCTGATGGAAAGGATGAATGGGGACAGAGGTAGAAGGAAAGCCATCATCTCCCAGCATGCATCCGTCGCAAAAAAAAAAAAAAGAAGAAGAAGAAGAAGAAAAAAAAGGCCTGAGCAGCATGAGGGTATGGAGAGAGAACCTTGGGCTTTGGTGACCAGGAGGTCCTTGGTATTTTTTTAAGAGTATCTTCAGTGGAGTATCAGGGGGATGACGTAGTCGGCAGGGATGCTGGAATGGAAGCACCGGAGTCCCTTTGGAGGTAGCGTGAGGCAAAGGGGCAGGCCAGTAGCTGAGAGGGCGAAGAATCACTTTGTTTGGAGAACAGAGAAATCTGAGCGAAGAGAAGCAGAGGAGGCAGGCGTGCTCCAAGCCACAGGGTCTGTGCGGTGCTGCCCAACGTGACCGCCGCGACAGGTGCAGGCAAAGGGAGCACATGAGCTCAGACAGGGGAAAGCTGCCAGGCGTCTGCAGTGGGCAAAGCAGAACGGAAATCCCCCGTGAGCCAGCAGTTAGGGTAGAACCTTCTCATTTCAGACCCCAGGTACAGAATTTATTCTTTCCTAAAATACAAAAGCAGAACACAGGGTTTGCTGGCGAATCTTGGCAAATGTTCCTCTCTGTCCTTAGCATTAAAGCCCGAGGACAGAGATAAGGCCACGGTGACTGACCACAGGGAGATGTGAATGTGCTTGGGTGGGAAGGACGGACTGCTTGGAGCTATGGTGGCAAAAATGACAAAACTGGGGAGGGGACAAGAAAAAGCACAGATTCCTGCAATTTTACGAATTTGGAGACAGCTTTCTTTAACCACGGCACTCAGGACCACCACCTTCAAGATACACGGGGCTGGGACAAAAAAACTGCTTCTTGATACCAGTACGGAAACAGCGACCACGAAATTATCAATCTTCCTTCCTAACAAAACAAAACAAACACAAAAACCCTTCCTGCCTGCCATATCCTTTACCTTACTTTCACATAAAAAATGTGGGAATCAGTTTAGTGGAGGAGGAAGAACAAGGGCTTTGGCCTCAATGAACCTTGGGTCCAATCCTTGCTCTATCACCACCAGCTGTGACACTAGAGCAAGTCATTGAACCTCTGGAAGCCTGATTCTTTATCGGCTAAAGAGGAAAATAGAGTTCTAGCTGAATCAGGTAAAAGGCTCAAGGAGCACTGGTGCATCCCTCTCCCTCCCCCCTGACTCCAGACTCCTTCCAGTGCTGTGTGCTGTCTGCCCAGAGAGCTCTTCCTGGCTCCTAAAGAACCGCCATCTTGAACAGCTTGGGAGGAAGAACGCAAGGGTTCTCCTTGGCTCTGCCCCAAGGCCTGCCACACCATCATTTTTCAACAAAACCAACATGCAATTTTATTCATGAATTTATGTTCCAAGTAATGCTCACTTATTTGGCATTGCGCTCCTTTAAAACTGGATTATACTACTCAATTTCCAACTCTATCCAAGTAAGCCTAGGCCCTAGGGTAAAGGCTGACCACCAAAGCAGAATGGGGAAACAGTTCCTATCTTCCGTGCTCAGCCACTCAAGGCATCCTGGTGACAGCATCTCTCATCTATCCGTGGACGTGCTCTGTGTGACGCCAGCCTGTACTGCATTCCAGCTCATTTTCTGCAGCATAATTAGTAATGATGATGATTAGTTAGGTAAAGAGAAGAAAATTTATGAGCCTATGGACCAAAGCTGATGATGAATCATCCCTTTTCCCTTCCTTCAAAACCTGGAAAGGTGT